AGAAGATCTGGATCCCGTGCTCGACGAACTGCGAAAATGGGATGATGGTGACGCCTGGAGGGATGGGTGGGAAGGGTGGCCATTGGATGCGCGGGGTGGTTGGTACGGGTTTGTTAGGTCTGGATGGTGGTGGAATTTGGGGTTCTTTGTTCGGTTCCGATGTTGGGTTGGCAGAAGGAGTTATGCCGTTAGTGGTCTGCAGTGGATCGGAAGCGTCTTTGTCTGGGTCGCCCATACTCGTCACGGTTGACGATGACTTCAAAAATTGTCAAGTACCGGATTTCGAGGACCACCTTGTCTCCCCCGGCCTAAGCCTTTCGGAGACAACCTAATCGCGATGGGGGTTTGGGAACAAAGACGCTTTGATCACGAAAGACGCGTCGCGATCGCTTATCGCGGCGAGCATGTGATCTACTTAATCTAATCTAATCAGCTATGTATCTGATCGAACGGGCGCTTATGGTAGATCGTCACACTGGTCTGGACTTGTTCACTGCGCTGCTAATGCTCAGATCCAACCTGACTTGAATCGTCAAGATCAAGGGCTCCCTGCTGGTGTTGTGATCAAGCCGTAATGTTCTGGAAGTCCTTGCAGTATATAGAGTAAGGTAAGTACTATGAAACGCCGGGCCTCTTAACTCCCTCCCATATTCCGTCAAACCTGCCAACTCATTCTTCACCATTGGCAGCGCGGCGAGCTTGCAGTAAGTATTGCACGTCCTCCAGGATCGCCATATCCGCGCGTAACTGTTCCGAGACGGTCACTTTTACGCTTCTGATGGCCCATAGGTAGCTCAGCTTACCCTGAAGAGTTCACACGCGTAGCGTAGCCTATCTTCACACCACTCTACTTCTTCCTTGTCCTTCCCGTAATTAAGCCACCTCGAGAGTAAGCCCCGTTGCTGGATCCTCAAAACGCACACCTCGATCTCCTGTAAGTTTCTGTTCGCGGTCAATCAAAACCCGTCGAATACTAGAGACAAGACGTTCGAAAACGCACTTTGCGAGATCCGCGATATTCATCTGGGTTTGGTGCGACACGCTTCCCCGCTTGTCCACAGCAGCCATGCACTCTTGCAGTACCGCATGTACCAACTTGCAAGTATTATGCCCAATGCGGACGAACGCTTCTCTGTTCCCTCGAATATCCTGGATATTTGAGTGAGTCGTGAATTCAAATGTATCGTATCGTTTCGTGGAATAGACTTGACACTGACCTGCGCCATGGATAGGATGTGGAGTCAGATGCTTGCAGCTTCGCGGAGGCCAGGAACTGGAGCCACCGGCCCGATAGTTCTGAGTACCCCGCACACGTCGCTAGAATCCTCAACGTTAACTGCCATTGACTTTTCGGCGTAGTTGACGAGAGGGCGGTCTGAGGTCATTGAAGATTTGTGGGACATTCTTAGATGGAGCTCCTCACGGATAGGCCATTTATAAAGGCTGTGCCTGGAGGCTGTGACGACGAGAAGGAATGTACATCAAGCAAGCGCCCTACACAGCTTCATAGAACCATAGCCCTGCTATCAATTATCACTGCAATAGAACTATTTATAGTCCCCCTGACACTGCCTGAAGGCTGCGGCGACTCGAAGCAGTGTAGTTCCAGCAAGCGTCCTACACACCTTCCTAGTATTGTTGTAGCCCTACTAGCCATCATCACGGCAATAAATGTATTTATAGCTATAGGCCGTACAAATGCAATGGATAGGTACTTCTATTAGTCTCGGGGTTGGAAGCTATTCTTATCTCTTCTGTTACATAATTGGGCGTTTAATTGGGCGCTTCTCGAAAGGGTTAGGGTTCCCGGGATATGCCAATGGCGGTGAGCTGTCATTCACAGTATAAAACCCACATCCCCTTCTGTAAACCTATATCTGGCTTTATCTGTGTATTCCACATAGAATTATTTTAAAGGATCGTGTTTGGGTGCGTCGTACCGGGTATTTTGGAAATCTTGGGGGCCCCTCATCCGGTTGGTCCAGGCTGAGATTCCCCTATGCCGGCTGTTGACCGTCGAATGGATACCACATAATTATGAGACATTAAACCAGATCAAGAGAGAAGTATCATAGACAATTACACTGTAAATTCCTCCCGTGATCATATTTCGACATGAGGCAGCAAGGCCCCGGTTGCTCAGTCTAGCGGATACTTCGTACTCACCCGTCAATACATCCGTTCTTTGGGCTGAACCCACTCCCTTTATGCGTACATTCAGATGTTGGGTTGGAAGGGAGATGTGGGGCCAACAGCGTGCCGTTCGAGGCGGTTGTGCTTCGATGGACCATGACGTTTGGTGGCGAGGAGTCTCAAGTTCTGAAGGCTCACCTATCTTTAAAGCGCTGCAAGGAGGTGTCAATTGAAGGATGAGCAGTGTATCGGCGCTTATCTCTGTCGAGCCAAGACAAGAAGGGGTCTGAGAGACTTGGAGGCAAAGAACAACTTTGGGGTTCCTCCGAGTCGAGGCCGCCGAGGGATATGATCTAATCTAATCAGGGAGTTATCTGATCGAGCCGGCGCTTATCTTCGAGCCCGCGAGTGCGTCATTCGCAGGAACAAAAAAGTTAAACATCCGTTTGTGAGGCGATGTATAGGGGTTGCGGATGTATCTTGTCGAATTCAAATACGGATCTATTCTTGACCTATTGTTCAAGGCTGCATGGCATCGTTAACTTTGGCGCTTGTGGCGAACGGTAAATTCTTCGGATACAATAAAAATGAACTTCCTTCATGAGAGGCTATTGATGTGCCTACGGTGGGGTGATTGTGCGAATAAGGAATGACTAACACACACCCAAAACACCGAAATGAGTGGCTCTGAGGTGCGAGGACAGGTTCCCGGTTGTGCGGCTCTAACCAGTGGGCACGCGCGACCAGCAAACGGGGGACGACGGTGGGCGCTAAGCGTGGGATCAGAATGGCGATGGCGGCGAGATCGAAAGACGGGGCAACGGTGGGTCGAAATGGCGAGTCGAAACGAGGCTGAGAGCGACGAGAGAAGGCGTACGAGAGACGAGGGCGAGGTATGAGTGCCCCGAGTGGGCAAATGAGACGAGGAACTGTATGTTATTGGGGGAAAAGAGTAAGTACAGACATTTTGTATCTACAAAAAACAGGAGCACCGGTGAGGTATTTCTCCGAACCGGGCTGCAGGAATAAAGAATAAGAGAAAATCTTCCACAGAAATAAATAAAAATGATAAAAATTAATCAAATGACGAGGGGACGCAACGGACGACTGCGCTGATGGTCTTGATATGGCAAGGGTGGCGCGTCGAGGCTTCGCTTCGACTGGAACCATGTGGGCTGATCATGGGGCTTGCTGATGTTCTGGCTGAGGGTCTCCGGGTGCGTCGAGGAATCATATGGCTCAATGGGAAAGGTGTCGGGGATCGAGGGAACAACGGGAATGCGATGACGAAAGTCGAAAAAAAAGGGATTTACCGGGGTCAGGGAGCGGTCCAGCTCATCACTATCCATATAGTAGCAACTGAGGTCCGGTTACTGATTGCCTGTCGATTAAGATCAGCGTCTGCACAATGAAAGGACTGCATGATCATGATCATGAACTCTGGGAGGAGTATAACGGATACTTGAGCCCCGTTCATCCTGCATTGTTTCTTTTACAGTGGAGAGGGTGCAAGTGATCTCATTCATACCCCTGGCCTTCTTCGACGAGGGTGGTAGCAACAGCAACCCATCGTCCCCGTGTTCCCTAATAGCAAGCCGGCATACTCAACACAAGAGAGTCCACTGCTCCCGTCGCTCAAGAGCGTCTGTGGTATTTATGTAGAAGCAAACGACACTCTTCGCGAGAGATGTACATACTTGAACTCAATCCTTTGAATCCCAAAGAGCAATGAGTAGCAAGAAACGATCCGTGTACTCAAATTCCTCCATGGGAAATTTACTCAACTCAATGGTAGCCTCATATACAACCCCACTCGGTCCTAGACGATGTTTTCTTATTTTTATCGGCAGTTGTAGCCTGAGATGAATACGGGAATCTTTCGGCAGTTCTTCTCGGAGAAAGAGGTCGCGTTCGCCGCTAGGTGATAACTGACACCGCCGTGAAACCACGGGATCGCGTTTCACATCCACGCACACCCCCTCCCCACCGAAACCTCACCCCCTCCCACTGAGTGCTGCGCGCACACGGTACGTTATCAACGTGGCTACGGTGAGGACAATCTGCACCTTGGGGCATTGTGACTTTGGCGTGACGACACGCGTATCAACGTCATGGCGTGGGAACGTGAGGATAATGCGCCTCGAGGACAGAGCGTTTCCCTTTTACTTCGCCTTCGCCTTGCTCCCATCCGATCTTCCTAACTATCATCTCTCCGTCCCTAACACCGCTAGCACATCACTACCGCTACCGCTAACCGACACAGTAACAGCAACACAAGAATGGTATTCGGGTTCTTCTCGCGCAAGCCGCCGCCTCCGACGAACGATGCAGACGGAGTAGGAGATGGAGCAGGAGATGGCGCAGAGGCAGAGGCAGGCTCGTCCGGCATGTCGTCGTTCCAGTTCCCCAAGCCCCCGCCCCAGCAGCAGCAACACACCCCAGCGCCATCCATCGACTCCTCCTCCCACCTCAACATCCTCAAACCATCCACATCCGCATCCCCCTCGAGGGAGATCGTCACACCTCCAGGGCCCATCGACACGCCCTCGCCTGTCCCCGACGCCGACGCCGAAGTCGAAGAGACGATAATAACAGACCCCAGCGCTTTACACGCCCTCATCGCCTCCGTCCCGCCCCAGACCCTGCACGCCTACACCCTCGCACACCT